AGATGGAGTCTTACTATGTTGCCCAGGCTGGACTCCAGCTCCTGGGCTCAAATGAGCCTCCCAAGCAGCTGGGGACTACAGCTGCAGGCCACCACACAGAACATGTGGATACAATATTTCTGAGAACTAACATCACCTTTAGCAACAAAATCGGAGTCCCTATTAAGCAGCCAGAATGCTATGGTAATTGAACACTGACCATTTCTTTTTGCATGTGCTTTGCGCTCCTCTTCTAGAAGCTGTAGATGTCCGTTTTGTTTATCTACCGTCTTGACAAAGTTGCATCTACAACAGTCATATCATCTGACATTCCTTCAACTACTGTATCTATGTTTGAAATGCCGCACTGACACTGTCATGATGAGGATTAGAAGTGGCAGCAGCAGACATCCCACACAACCCAGGTATAGAATCATTTCTGACCGGCCGTCTGTTTTGGCAAATAAATGGCCTTTTCACTCACAACTGCCAACTGAACAGATTTCTTCGTTTTGAGGTATTGAAGGTAATCTTTCTAAATCCAGAAAACCTAGTCATCTTTCATTAAGTATGCAAGGCACTGTTTTTAGTGAAAAAGGGTGAGACGGGCTGGTTTTGAAAAGCAAATGTCTTTATTACTTCCTACTACAACGATCCTCTCTGGAACCTGCCTGGTCACACTAGCATTTGTGACTCCTTGAAATCCTTGATCTAGGTCAGCATTTGGTGGTGCTACTTTTAACTCTTCTGGAACCCTCATTAACAAATACCTTCAGTGTGTTCCATTTCACACTGAATTCAACTAATTTCCACCACCTCAGCAGCAGCGAAAGAAGGAAACGCTGCCTCACTCACCAAATGTATACCAATTGCTGCTTGCTGTTTGGCACTATCTGCTTCTATGCTTCATATCAAGTCCTTTGACTTGCTTCAATGTGTATGTGTTAAAGCCACTTTTGTCCTCCTGGGCCCACTGGAGGGTCCCCAACAAGGGCCACTATCCACCGGCTGCCAGGGCAGCTGGCTGGGCACTGAGAGGCTGTTGGAGCCTTATCTTCTTACTTACTTCTGGCCTTTCCAATTTGCTCTATAATCCTATCCATGAAAAGCAACCACAATTCCATCTGTACTACCTACCTACAGCCTCTCTAAAAGCAAACAAAACACCACACACACACTATACTGTCTTAATGTCTTTGCAAGCACATACCTCTCTAGCTTGAAAGTCCTCTCCCAGTCTTCTTATCTCAAAGGCCAAACTCAAAATCTACTTTAGTGAGACTTTCCTCCATTCTAAAGCATGGATGCCCTCTCCCCAGTTTGTCTCTATTTGGTTACTATAACTCACTTAACTCCTATTTATAACAAAGGATTGTTTTCTGTTTGGGTATCTTATGTACACTAACTTCAAGTTCCCTACTAACAAACCTGGTACGCTACCTTACATTTAGATCAAAGGTGCTTAAACTGACACTAGATTGTTAATCTGTTGGCAGGAAGGCTATCATCAAAAGACAGATAATAGCAAGTCTTGGTGAGGATATGGAGAAATTGGAAGCCTCATACATTACTGGTGGGCATGTAAGAAGGAATAGCTATTTTGAAAAAGTATGGCAGTTCCTCAATAAGTTAAACATACATTTACCATGACTCAGCAACTCGACTCATGCATATACCCAAGAGAACTGAAAAAATATATTCCATAAGCTTCTATTCAAATGTCCATAGCAGCATTATTCGTAATAGCCAATCATTGTAAATAACCCCCCAAAATAAATATCAACTGACAGATAAGCAAAATGTATCATAATTATACAATGAAATATTATTCAGCCACACACAAAAAAAATGAAGTACTGATACATATTAAAACATGCTACTCAGGAGGCTGAAGCAGTATGATCAAGGCTGCAATGTGCTATAATCATACCTGTGAATAGCCACTGCAATCCAGCCTGGACAGCAGAGCAAGATCCCCATCAAATCAAAAAAAAACAAACAAACATGGAAAGCGTTATGCTAAGTGCAAGCCGCCAGACAGAAAGAACACATGTTCTACAAATCCCCTTATAAGAAATGCCTAGATCAAGCAAATCCGAAGTGACAGGAGTATATCACTGGTTGCTAGAAGCTAAGAGAGGAGAGAAACAGAACTTCTTTTTGGGTTGATAAAAATGTTTTGGAATTAAACAACAGTGATGGTTCTACAATCTTGTAAATATATTAGCAACCACTGAATTATAAACTTTAAAATGGTGACTTTAATGGTATGCAAATATATTACTAAAAAATTAAAAAGAAATGAAGGCCTGGTGTGGTGGCTCATGCCTATAATACCAGCACTTTAGGAGGCCAGGGAGGGCAGGTCACTCGCCAGGGGTTCAAGACCAGCCTGGCCAACATGTTGAAGCCCGACTCTGTTAAAACACAAAAATTAGCCTGGCGTAGTGGCACACATCTGTAATTCTAGCTACTCAGGAGGCTGAGGCAGGAGGATCACTTGAGCCTGGGAGGTAGGGGTTGCAGTGAGCCAAGATCACGCCACTACACTCCAGCCTAGGTGACAGAGTGAGACTGTCTCAAAAAAAAAAGAAAAAACTTAGGAGGAATGGAAAGAAAAGGAAGAGAAGGGGATGGGGGAAAAGGGAACAAACAAAGAAGGAGGAAGAGGGAAATAAAAAGGAGAAAAAGGGCCGGGCACGATGGCTCATGCCTGTAATCCCAGCACTTTGGGAGGCTAATGTGAGTGGATTACCTGAGGTCAAAAGTTCAAGACCAACCTGACCAACATAGTGAAACCCCTGTCTTCACTAAAAATACAAAATTAGCTGGGCATAGTGGTGCATGCTTGCAATCCCAGCTACTTGGGAGGCTGAAGCAGGAGAATGGCTTGAACCCAGCAGGCAGAGGTTGCAGTGAGCCGTGATCACACCATTGCAGTCTACTCTGGGCAACAAGAGCAAAACTGTCTCAAAAAAAAGAAAGGAAAAAAGGAGGGGAAAAAAGGGCACCTAGACCAGGCTGGGCACGGTGGCTCACAGCTGTAATTGCAGCACTTTCGGATCACTCCCAAAGCACTTACTCCCCAAGATGAACAAATGTTACCGTAGGTGAATCAACACTTTCAGATTAGCATTACTTACATTAAGGTTGTTAAACTTCTTGATTTAAGCTAACCAATTCCATTTTTAACACCTGCACTAAAACCTGGACTGACCAAAACTTAATGAACTAGGGCAATAAAGAACACTGAAAATGCATAGAAATTGGACGAATTTAGAATCTTTTAAAAAATTGGAACATAGGCCGGGCGCAGTGGCTCACGCCTATAATCCCAGCACTTTGGGAGGCCAAGGTGGGTGGATCACGAGGTCAAGAGATGGAGACCATCCTGGTCAACTTGGTGAAATCCCGTCTCTACTAATACAAAAATTAGCTGAGCATGGTGGCGCACGCCTGTAGTCCCAGCTACTCGGGAGGCTGAGGCAAGAGAATTGCTTGAACCCAGGAGGCGGAGGTTGCGGTGAGCCGAGATCGTGCCACTGTACACCAGCGTGGGTAACAAGAACGAAACTCCGTCTCAAAAAAAAAAAAAAAATTGGAACATAAAGAGAAACATCAGGTGGGGTGTAGTGGCTCACGCCTGTAATCCAAGCACTTTGGAGGCCAAGGCGGGTGGATCACCTGAGGTCGGGAGTTCAAGACCAGCCTGGCCAACATGGGGAAACCCCGTCTTAAAAAATAATAATAATAATTTTTTTTTAAAAAAAGAGAAACATCATATACAGTGACAGAAAGTTTCAATTAAAACAATTTTTCTGTCCCAAGAACTGGAAAGAACAAACACGCAGGAAGTTTCTAATGTACGAGAATGCAGGCAGGGGAAACAAGCTGGATTATCACTAAGTCCCTAAATCATGGAAGGAGAATTCTCCTCAGTATTGGCTCATCCTCCTTTGCGTACATTTCACATTTTATATCACACTAAAAGTAGCCCAAACCCAATATAAATATGTCATATACAGCTAACTAAGAACCCATCAATAAACCTCATTATGCCAACTCAAGCAGCAATATTTACATTCCTGGTGGGATCCAGCTGTTGATATTTAAGTTTAAATTTAGGTAGGAAATACAAAACTGTTTCTTCATGAAAAGGGATGAAATGCCAAAGACAACCTGTTTCAGAAGGTCCCGCACCTATTTGTTAACTAAACAAGTCTCAAATGTCAAATCCTTGTTGAAATCAAACCTTTATAAATGTCACTGCAAATGTCGCTGATGCAATACATGACATCAATCAGACTTGTGTTTGCAAGTCTATCATTCATAACCATAAACCTTGACCTGAACGAGAAAGCACTATCATATTCCTCTTTGTAGTCATGCATTCAGCAAATGTGGATACAAGAATGAATAAAACCCCCTAACTGCTCCCCTCCCAAGATTTATAGCTTAGTATTGAACTGGGTTAGGCACCCTGCTAATTACTCAGATTCTACTCATTATATCTATTATGAGAGTAGTTAATTAAAAGACTAGTACACTGCAATAATCTAATTATGTGTACAATTTTAGAGGTTTTTTCACTTAACTTGGAGCTTGGCAAACAAATCTGTATTGATCACTGCTGTAGCCCCAGCATTCATCGGGGCACCTCAGCAATTATTGGTAGGTTAGGTTACTGAATGAATGGTATCTAAAACACAGCAGATACTACTAGATGTCCACTGAATTAATTAACAAGAAACGACTTATTTTCTAATTTCTTTACTAGACATATAAAACTCTTACCGAAGAGATGGCAATACTTATTCTATAATGTTTTTGTTCTCTATTTCACTAATTCACCTCAAAAAAAAATTTTTTTTTAAGTCTCACCATTACTAGGTGTCTCTAGGGATTCCTTTGCTGGGTTTCTCTGGTCTTCATCTTCCTCAGGATTTTCCCTGGACTTTGACAGCCGGTTTCTTAGAGACATCTTCTCTTCACCCACCATTGTATTGTCTAGGAAAGAAGATGCAAAAAGCTTTTGTATTAGTCCACTTTCACACTGCTATAAAGACACCACCTGAGTCTGGGTAATGTATTTTTTTTTTTTCCTGACATGAAGGAAGTACAGAGATTGGGTGACGTATAAAGAAAGAGACTTAATTGTCTCACAGTTCCTCATGACTAGAAAAGCCACAGGAGGCCGGGCGCGGTGGCTCAAGCCTGTAATCCCAGCACTGTGGGAGGCCGAGGAGGGTGGATCACGAGGTCAAGAGATCGAGACCATCCTGGTCAACATGGTGAAACCCCATCTCTACTAAAAATACAAAAAATTAGCTGGGCATGGTGGCGCGTGCCTGTAATCCCAGC